ATTCATTCTGGGCATCACCTTGGCCCCGCGGCCCTACAAGATCTGTGCAGTGCCTCGGTAGGGAGTGCGGCCACTGTTCTCAGAGGGAGAACTCTCAGCTTTAAATGGTATCCACTGACTGACTCCTCACCAGCTGCCATGGGCCATTGCAACAACAGCCGTACATGTTGTGTTTCTTTTAAAGTAATTGCCAAGTCTCTTCCTTTTACAGGCACATTTTACACACTGTATCAGCTGAAAAAGATTGGTCAGGGCCCTTTTGGGCTTGCAGTCCAGCACTGTCAGTGAATGAGGTACTCAGGCCTTAATTAATTCCATGTCTGATGGCCATGCATCACAGCTGTGGATCAGTAATGGAAGGGAGCAGTACAAATAGTGACTGGAAACAGTTTCTATTTTGATCTTAGGAAAACTGTTAGAAGTACACTGATGCCCTGTGACATCTCCCTCTCTTGCACATTAATAAATCCCAATTGAAGCATTTTTGATGTGCAGCATTTTGCAAAGTGATGACCAGCACAGCCTTTTCAGCACTGCCTGCAGTCTCCAGCCGTGCCAGCATTTGGGGGCAGCAGGGGGTGGGATGTAGAGCCATGCTGAGCTTACACAGCACCAGCTCTCCCTTAGCAGAAAGGAGGGCACAGGAACAGCACAGGCCATTTGTGCAGAGCTGATGAATATTCATGATCCGAGCTCTGTGAGCAAACCACCAGGAAAACCACCAAAGCTGGTGGCTGCGTTCTGCCACACCACTGCAATTAATGCAGTGACAGACACTCAGAGGATGACAGGTGCCATTTCTGATATCCATTTATAGAGCATCTGCAGCTGGTGGTAAAGAAATTGTGGATCCTGTCTCCTAGAATAAGCTAAATTCTTTCTCCCCCACTGAATCTTTCCCCCAAACCTGAATCTTCTTCTCCACACCTGGTTAGGAGGCAGCAGGGAAGGTTGAGCTGACACTGCAGAGCTGCCTGGTAAAGAAGAGGAACACCATTTCTCCCACGATTGCATACTGACCAAGCACAGGTCTGTAACACATAGCACAATTCCAGACAACGGTGTGGACGAAGATGATATTTCTGGCACTCGTGGCTTCTGTTTCACAGATCTGTAAGGCAGAGATGTGAGAAAGTTATCTAGGAAACAAACACATTGATACAATACAGGAACCTTGAGCAAGTTTCCTACTAGATGCATAATGAGGCCTTCCTGACCCTCTTTTCCCCACTCCCTGGCTGCCACACAGCCACTACTGTGTTTTCCTGCACCCAGCAGCCTTTACTCCCTTCTCCCACGCTCAGGAAGGCAGCAGCAGCTCCCCTCGAGCTGAGGGGCTGAAAACATTCACAGCTGACAGCCTCTTCCCTTCCTTTCTCCCTGAAATAAACACCTACATTTCTATTCTTTGATGGGTTAAAATGCTTTTAGGTCCTGCTTCAGAAATGATGAAAACCAATTCTTCCAAATTTGGCCATTCACTTCTCTCTCACTGGCTATTCCCACCAGCTCAAAGTCCCTTCCTTTTCCACAAGATAGTCCCCAGCTCCCCTCCTCATGGAGGATAAGAGACCAAGGTAATAAAAGTGTTTGCTTACATAACAGGCTGCTCAGGCCAAGGATTAGGATACAGACGAGCTCCGGTAAAAACAGGTCAGAAATGAGGACCTTGAAGGAAACTAGGCTCTTTCCTCCTGCTGATCTGCACTCTCAAGTCTTCTTTTCCAAATAATAATGAGCAGAGAGCTGTCCTATTAGGTGTGGCTGAGGAGAGCATGCAGAGATCTGAACTTCTTTCGGTAGCAATAAGCAATTATGTAAGTCATTCAAGAGCTAATTTCTAGCAGCTTTTAACCTTTCCACTTCACCTGCCCAGTTCTCTGATGATTACTAGAGGCAATTAGCTGGACAAGGAAGCAGAACATAAAGCAGGAATGAACTGGGAAGGGCATCACACATCCAATTTGTTGCTGCAAGACAACGATATCCAGTAAGGTAATATTTGATACAGTGTGACTGGAACGGCACACAATTATTTCATAGGCTGCCTAGAAGAACAGATGCTTGCATTAGCTATGTACCATTAAGGGCATAACTGAGAAAAAAAGACACCAATGAATTCATTTTAAAAATCTTTATGTGAATATAAAAGAATCATTTCCAAAGAAATAAAACAAAAAGAAGTTTAAAAATTAGTGCAACTTTTCAAGTTCTATGCAATACAGTGTTTACATTTGTTTTCAACTGACAATGTAGACACTGATACAACATGAAATCTTACCTCTAGCTGGACTAGTGGAGGAAAAGGAAAAAAGCAAGGAAGCCTTAAGAAAATTATTTTACTAGACATTATCAACTCAAACAATTATTTTTATTTTCTAATTTCTAGACTATGGCTACTTAAAACATTGGTATTGCTTATATTTTTTACTTTCAAGTAAGTGTATATTGTAGAAAATAGAATACCTATATACATATATATTTCATGAAGAAAAACTTAGGTGAAAAATTTATTTTTAGTGACTGTTTCTTAATCCATTACAATACAGTTGTTCTAAAAATCATCTTCTCAAAACTGCTGCCTGATCCACCTTGAGTAAAAGAACCCAACAGCCCTAAATTTCTATTATTGCTACAAAGCACTTCTCCTCCCTTGTGGTTATTTTCTTAGATCTTATATAAAAGAAAATTGTGAGTTAAATGATATGTCACTTATTTTTGCTTCTCGGGATTCATACTACCCGTTTTACCAGAAACCAACCAGAATTACCAATAGTGCTGATGAAATTCAGCAGTATTCCACAGTGTCACCTCAGATGAATCTGTTCCTAACTGTGAAATCTGGAAATGCACACTGCATCAAAGAGCATTGGATTGATGTAGTTCTGCTGTTATGTGGCATGTGAAATGTAGCTACAACACAGCAGTTCTACTTGTAGCTTTTGTTTCATGTTAATGATGTTAACAATACTTTTATTCCTCTTTGCACACCCAGATGAGGTGAAGTGAATACGACAGTATGGCTTAGATTCAAATAATTATTTCTGTGCATCACTTCCTCATTCACAGAGCATAACCCATAACAGCCACTGTTCTGCAGGTTCCCAAAATTCTTAAGAAACACTAAATAACATCGTATTTACCCATCTAAGTTTTAACAGTTTGAAAAAAAGCCAAGGGAGAAAATTTTCTCCAAATACCTGAACATTTTAAATGTTTGCATCCTCAATAGGTTTACTGGAGACCACTCGTACTCTGAAAAAGCCTTATTCCCATCTGTAATTAGGTATTTAAATTTTTCATTTCTGCTTAGAAGATAAGCTTCTAATTAAATAATAAGGAGGTTCTTGGTCATTTTTTGGTCCCAGGGTCCGCAGTTTTGAGAAGAATACAGAGATATTTGCTCCAAGGTTTTCACTATTCAGCACCTGACACGACTACTGACACAGCTCTACTACCGTGAGAAACACCGCATGTACCAAGCCTATTAACTAGATGAGTACTTGAAGGATGTCCAGAGTTTTCATGCTGTAAAGAACAAAAGCTAAGAGACTCATTCAACACCATCAACAACAGGTTCATATTTCACCAGAACACGCTGAAGTACCAGGCTTTAAGAAATGTAAGCATCCTGCTGGGGCTTACTCTCATGTTCTACTGCTCACCACCATCTCCCACACCACCACCAGATTAAACACACAATTGTATCTTAAGAATACAAAAAACAAAACCATCGCTGCCGCAGTCAAAGACTTCAAAACTCAAGAGGTAGTCAAAGAAGCACAGAGTCCTGAAGAACACAAACTGACAGACACAACTGTTCAAAAGCAGTTTGTTGGAATGTTCTTTGCTCATACAACCCGACCTTTCAGATGAATCTGGCTTTTAAATAATACCTTGTATAGATGTAAGTTTCACAAGAGGAAATCTTTATGCAGTGCTTAGGTGTATAAGACTGTAAGCCATCAACACTATTAAGAAGCAATGCTTACTAAGTATTAAAAATGAGAAGTTTCCTTTTCTCTGGCATTGCATACAATGCCCAAGAAGGCAAAAGGGAAGGAAGATTGGGAAGGGAAAAATCAAGGAACAAGCCCTACTGAGGGGCATACAAAATGCAAGACTACTCAAAATTCATAATTCAAACCAAACTCAAAGTAGAAACTTCAATTCTGCAAAACAAAGCTGAACCCAGCTCTCAAATAAAAGATGGCCTTAGTGGTGAAGGTACTCTATGTTTTCAGTGACGAGATCTATAGTAGATTACAGACAGGTGCAGCAACCTCACTTGCACACTGTTAAGTGTATTCATTTCAAGGACTGCTATTACTGTCGTTTAACCAGCTACAACAAATTTGTTCTAGACAGTTTGCAAAAAAGGATGGACATAAATTTCTTAAAAATACAGTTCACAAAAAATGGAACACTTTTGCAATAAAGGGACACACACATTTGGAGAAAGGTAGCAACTCCCCCCTCAAGTGTCAGATATCAATCCTGACTTTTCTCCCTCAGTCTTTGCTGCCAAGGATTAGCAAAGCAGCATTTCACTCACCTGCAGAGCACAGTTAGTTCAGAATAATTGCAGTGAAACTACATTTAAAAATGAAGAAAAATAATTTCTATTCCTAAGGTTGTATAAATAGCTGGAAATAAAGGTTTCTTCCTACACCATCTCCACCTGCAGCCTTGTCCCCTCATCCTCCCACGTCTCACAAATGCAGTGCACAGGTACTCCAGACTTTTAAAACACAGCCCAGACTTGAGTTAATACAATAGGTCTTTTTTTCTTTTTTTTTTTTTCTAAAACAAAAGCTTATTTGGCTTTGGTGAATTCAACATCTTCAAGGTAGGATTTCCTTAGTGTATATAAGCACTAACTTGACCTTTACTTAAATAGACTGCATAATTGTGTCTCTGACTTGAGATGACAAAGCCTGTCTCCTGTCATACAGGTCAACTAGTAATACAATTTTAAAATGTTGTTTTTAAATAAAAGCAAATATTTTCTTGCTTCTAAAATTGTATTTTATATTATATTATAGAAGAAGTATTTTTAAAGCATGTTACCAATTTTTTAAACTTCATTTTAGAAGAGGCCAGCAAAAATGTCAAATATTGCCAGTTTCCTGAAGTATATTTTTGCATAACATCTTCCTATTACAAAAGTCAAGTCTCTAGTCCAAATAAATTGATTAGTTTTAAATATATAGTGCCAATTTTTATATTTACAATATATCTTCAAGGCAAATATAAATCTTAAGTTGTGCTTGTAAATACATACTGTAGTTATTAAATCTACTTCTATTGTGCTACCTTCTGGATACCACTGATCAAGTTAATCAAGCTAAGTTCTTGATAAATTCTGATGCTGAATTCACAGATGCCCACCACTGTAACATCATCTTTCACCAAATAGTTGAAGTGGAAGGTATAAAACATTTAAGGACACTTAAGCATGTAAGCTTCCCTCACTGTCTT